AGAGGCTAGAACTCCTGGTTCAGAAAAATTGATATTTTTTAATGTTAAACTGTACATGGAGGTTGGGTATCTCCAGCCTATTTGTAAGATGAATCAACACTCCTGGAAGCTTCCTAAAGAGGCAATTCACTCTCTTTAGGGGCAAGCAAAAGGGGGACTGGTAACATCTGAAAGGCCTGAAGGTTCCCAAAATAGCCTTCTGGCCTCTGAACCACTCTTTAGCTGGCCCTAAGTCCGCTTAAGATTCATACAGACAAACCTGGAGGGAGGAACACAGAGGAAGAAACCTCTCTCTCTCTTCCTCTCATTTCTGTTGTTTAAGCCCTTCTCCATTTCTGCCCACTGTTTGCCTAAGTCGATGATTTCATTTCACTCACGTGAAGAGGGAGCATTCCTTTACCAAAACAGTGGGAGATTTGTCAAACTAAGCTTTTAATAATGGCATTATTTTGACAGCCTTTTGACAGCATAACAGCACATCAGCCCCGGAGAGCATTTTGAAGGTGCGAGCTTTTCAATAAAAATTAAGTCCTTGCCTAGAAGAAAACTTGGTCCTCTGTTGTCTTAAAGAAATCAGCCCTGATTGTGTCTAAACACCTTAATCCACTCTGGAGAGGGTAAATCTCAATCCTTTTCTGTATGAATAAACCCTGCAATCCATCATCCAGAGGTGCTCAGTACATTTTTCACCCTACTATATCAAGGGGGCCTGATAAACCGTTTTCTTAACCAAACCTGTTGGGTGATCATTAGATTGCTCACAAGAATAAATTATCAAGGGTAGTTCTCTGTGGCTTACTTAAATACTCCAACGATGTTTGCCGTCACTTTCACTTATGCCTTTAATTTATTTAAGAGGGCTCTCCAAGTTGTTCAGGTGAGTTGGGAGAAAAAGAGGAGGAAGGTGCCAGTTTCCTGGATACCAGAGTTAATGCCATCCTTGTTCATAAATCAGAGTTCATGATAGGACAACCCTCTAGGCAATCCAAGATGGCATGGCAATACTAGGCTGACTGTCCAGCATTTAGCATGTTGTTTCTGATGGGATTTTGTCCCTGTTGCCTGCAAGGAGCATCGATTAATCAAGATACTGTTATGGGAAGTCCTGCTGGCGCTTGTAGTTATGTGCCTTCAAGCTGACTCTTGAATTATAGCAATGCTATGGTAGGGTTTTCTTGGCAAGATTTATTCAGAGGAAGATGGCTTTTGCCTTCCTCTCAGGCTGAGAGAGGCTGACTTGCCTAAGGTCACTCAGGAGGTTTCCATGTCTGACTGTAGATTTCAATCCTGGTGTCCCAGAGTCCTAGGTCTAATCTACACATAAATTGTTGTTATTAACTGCCCTTGAATCAACCTCAACTCATGGTGACCCTGTGGATGAGACCATGTTCTTCTTAGGTTTTGCAGACTCATGCCCATGACCTCCCTAATTTTGTCTAGCCATCCAGCATGAGGTCTTCCTCTGTTATGTATTATGCAATTTGCTGTAGATGTTCACACACTCACATCAGCGGTTAATTGTCTTCTCTTTCCTGTACAAATTTGCATCTCCCTCCCTCTACCAAAAATGTGCAGCCATCCATATCCATCCATGCAATGGTGCACATTTCTGGTGATTTCCACAGATACTCTGGTAAAAACCATAAAGTTTTTTCCTGTGGAGTTTAAGGAGTCTTCCTCCCCTCCTTGAAAAAAAGTCCAAACTCATGCAAATCACGTGTGGCCGGATCACATTCTATCCAAATGGAATGAGGAGCATTGTAATTGTGTAGACAAGCCTCTAGTCCAGTGCTCGGACCATTGCATCACATTGGTTGCTGGGGGTCAGAGATGGGCAAATCTGACAGTTTCATTCCCTGATTCTCATTTTCACTGCACTTAAATTTCAATTTGCTTGAAAGTTTCCCAGCCTTGAGTTTGGTTTCTCTAAAACTTTGGCAATTTTTTTTCTAAGTCACAGAAAAATGCATATGCACTGTTGGATGCATGTCTCCTCATACAAGAATGTTGAGAAGCAATGTTGCATACTAAGGGAAGGAATTTTCTGAAAATAATGGCTTGAGTTCTATTGGTTCGCCCCAACTAGAGAGGGACTATTGAGTCACTTGTGAAATTGTGAGTCAACACATAGCTAGATTCCATTGACTCAAGGGGTCTTTGTTGTTGTTGTGTGCCTTCAAGTCATTTTTGACTTATGGAAAGTGAACCCATCATGTGGTTTTCTTGGCAAAATTCGTTCAGAAGAGATTTCCCATTGCCTTCCCCTGAGGCTGAGAGAGTGTGACTTGCCCAGGGCCACCCAGTGGGTTTCATGGCTGAGTGGGGAATTGAATCCTGGTCTCCAGAGTTGTAGCCCAACACTAAAACCACTACACCATGGGTCTACTCTATACTTAAACAGTCCCCCTCTTGAGAGTACTTTAGTGGTAGATTCTGCCATTAGCTGTGGACTACATGGCCCTGGGAGTGCTTTCCAATTTGGTGATTCTGTGATTTTATTCCTTTGAAAAGCAAAATGTGTCAAAAAATAAGTTTTAAAAGCTGCCAAGGAATATTGTGGCTGCTTTTGATCAGTGTATCCCCTTCCCCTTCCCTCCCCCTTCCTTACTCCACCTGAGGAGAACCCAAGAAGACCTTTCACTTCCCAACTGCTCCTCTTCTGTTTCGCTTCTCTCGCTGCCTTTCTCCTCCTTACCTCCCCCTGCCTTCTCTCATTCCCTCCCCTACTGTTCTCAGATGGCTCACTTTGCCCAGAATAGGCAAGCTGTTGTGAAACATGTAGGAGCTACAATATGTTCCCTTCGGTTTTATCTCACTCGCGCCCTTTCCCAACAACTAAAATTGAATTTCGTCCTTGCTTTCCTTTGTCAAAATTGCATAATAAAACATCTCCCTGTGTGCAACCCACTTTGAATTAAAAGGACTTTCCAAGAGTCGAAATGATAAAGGGCCACTTTCTATTCTTCCCTCTCCACCTCTCCTCCTTCCTCTTCTTCCTCATCTTCTTCATATTTTTGTAAATGGAGAAGCCTCGTCTGGAGCCTCCCAGAGTAAAGATCTTTGATAAACAGACGGGACTCTGATTTAGCGTTGGATTTTGATCTGTCTCTTTCCATTACACTGAGCAAAGAGCTATGAAGACAGGTATCTATTAGCAGCAGCTTAAACATAATTAATGGAACATCTGTTTGCTCATTTGATGTTTCTGCTTATGACCGTTTGTTTATGAAGCTTACTTAAACCCTGGTCCATTAATTTTGTGGGCCTTTCTAGCCATGGCAAAAACTGATTTGGACCTTCAGGCCAACAATTGCTTTCTGGGGCCCATTCTGGAATTCAGCTTTTTCTCCTCTATGAAAGTTTGGGAGCAGGTGTGGTGAAAGGAGAAAGGGAACTCTAGCTCCTAAAACAGGCAGATTATACCTCGGGATTGTGTAACATAACTTGCTGAATATAGTTACCCAGTGATGTTGCTCTACAGTCTTTGTGTTGAATAGCAACATGGTGCAACTGAGTGTGTGTGTGTGCGTGTGTGTGTATGGAGGACTTACATTCAACCTAGACAATGAAGAAATTGAAATAGTAAAAG